AAGAATGTGGGGCCAACTCTGTTCTCTTTTTCACACACCCCACTATCAGTCCAGCCATCCGATTGCAAATACATGCAGAATCCAACCGCTTCTTACACTTAGACTTCACCCGCCCGAGCCTCACCACGGTGTTTGCCTGGTTACTGAAGCAGTCGGCTGAATGGTCTCTTGCTCCAACCCTTACCCGCACACCTCTTCGCTATTTATCGGCGCAGCGGCCAGATGTTTGCAGTCCTCACACCCAAACCGGCCAGACTAGCCCTCACTGTTACCTAACCCAAGTTCCTGTGCCCCAGGTCACAGCGAGGGAAAAAAATAAATATAGAAGTGTCAAGAGTTTAGAGCAGAAAAAGGTTTACTGCTGGGCGAGGAGAAGAACCGGTGGCTTGTGCCTAACCCCCCACCCCCAACTCCCTGAAGGGTTTCAGCTGAGCATCCTTAAAGGCCAGCTGAGGAAAGGGCTGTGCTATGTGAGCCCAGGATATGTGACCAGCTGTGCACAATTCTCTGGTTGATGGTGATCAATCCGTAGGCACCAGAAGGTCTGGGGGCTATGTGCACATGATCGTCAAATAGTTAACTTCTTCCATTTGATGGTGTTTTTTAGCATCTGAAAAACCCAGGAAATACTACCGGAGTAATTCAGAGAGGAGCTCCAGCGCAGAGTATGGGGAGGGGGTCTGTCCCGGGAAGGCCCCCTAGGGTCCTACTGGGTTACATCACTATAGGGCTTTTACCTGGTTGTTCCGTCTTCTAGGAAAGATCCCAGTAGCCAGCGGTGCATAAATTTGGGGTCTTCACCCACCTGTCATTTTCTCAGTGAGGCCTTCCCTAATCACCTCACCCACACTTTCTGTCCTACCCTGGTCACTTAACATACATGAACTTGTCTATCTGCTTCCTGGACTGTAAACTCCCCATGAAGACTGGAGTCTGTATTGTCATTATTTTATCTTGATTCTCCCGTGTCTGGAATTATTCCTGGCAAATCAATACATCTTGAATAAATGACTCTTCCCCAAGCCCGGCGCAGTTGGTAACGACCCTCTTTTCTGTCACAGCACTTGGGAGAAAATAAAAATAAAATCCACAAAACCACTCATCGTCATTTATCTCAAAAAGCACTTTCCTTAACTGCAAAGTCTCAATTAACATTTCTTTACTTGACTCCTAATTTTCTGGCTATGTTTATTTATCCTTTGATGATGGGACTGGGGATTGAACCCAGGACCTCACATATGCTGAGCAGGTGCTCTACCACTGAGCTATATCCTCACCACCCTGTGCTTTTAAACATAACTTTATTTACATGCTATAAAATCCATTCACTTTAAGAGTACAATCCAATGGTTTTCAGTAAGTTCATAACCATTTGCAACTATCACCATGATTTAAGAACATTTCCATCACCCCAAAAAGAAACCTGTACACATTTCCCTCTACCCTTAACCCCAGGCAACCACTAGTCTACTTTCTGTCTATAGATTTGCCTTTTCTAGGCATTTCATACAATATGTTGTCTTTTATATCTGACTTCTTTCACTTAGAATAATATTTTCAAGATTTATCCATGTTGTAGCATGTAATAGTACTTTGTTCCTTCTTATAACTGATTTCTTTTTGTTGCTGACTTTGTTTTAGTATTGAACTTTATGGATTAAAACAACCACCAGTTGATGGGTATTTGGATTGTTTCCACTGTTTGACTACTATGAATAACACTGCTGTAACATTCAGAGAGACAAAACACAGAGTGATGACAGAAACAGTGAGAGATTTGAAGATGCTAAGTTGCTGCATGGGAACATGAAGCAAGGAACCACAAAACAAGAAATGTAAGAAATGCTTCTCTAGAAACCAGAAAAGGCGTTGTGCCCTCAGAGCCTCAGGAAGGAGCCAGCCCTACCAACCAAAACCTTAACAGTATCTCCAAAACACTGATTTTAGGCTCTAACCCCCGTAACTCTACAGGAATCAATCTCTGTTGTTTTAAAGCACTAAATTTGTGACAATTTGTCACAACAGCAATAGGAAACTAATACAAAAGTATTTTTGGACACCCAAATTTGAATTTCATATTGAAACATGTCATAAAATATTGTTCTTTTGATTTTTTTAACCCTTTAAAAATGTTAAAATTATTCTTAGCTTGCAGGCTGTACCGAAACAAGCAGTGGGCCAGATCTGGCCCAATACTAGCACAAGTAATCCATCCCTAGATTAAAGCAATAATACACAATAATACATAGTTTTTATGATGTTTCAAAGTTAAAATACTATTAATGTAATTCATTATGGATAAATGTAACAAAAGCAAATCGAAATAAAACACGAACATTTAAATAGATGCCCAAAAAGCATTTAATAAAATTTTAATGCCCTTCCTTCTTTATAAGTTAGTATTTGGAAATATTTTAATAGTGGTTGTTTATCATAAACCGTAATAAACATTTTGCTTAACAGTGAAAAATCAGTAGCATCTTTGATCATCCAGTCTAAAGCAGCCACCCACCCACCCCACTTTCTCTTTGTAATAATTTTTTATTTATCAATCCATAATTGTCCTGCTTATTAATTTATTTTTCCCTTGTTTACTTCAGTCTTCTTTCAGAAGAGATAGTGACTGTTCATGGCTGTATCTCTAGAACCTAATACCATGCCTGGCACATATTAAGTGCTTAATAAATACTTGTTGAATAAATTCTATTTGTGATGGTTAATTTTATGTTTGAACTTGGTTGGGCCAAGGGACCCAGATACGTGATCAAACATTACTCTGGATTTTCTATGAGTGTTGTTGGATGAGATTAACATTGAAATCAATGGACTTGGTAAAATTTTATTCTTTATTGATGTGTAGTTGATTTACAATGTTAGTTTCAGGTGTACAGCAAAGCAATTCAGTTATACATATACACACATGTATGTACATATATTTTTAGATTCAATCCTTTGCTGATTTAGGCACTGTGGGCAAAGTCAAAGGACCAAAGAGATTGGGAGACAGCATTTGAAACAAACATAACAGCAAAAGGTTGAAGTTCATAATACATAAAGAATTGAAACAAATCAGTAAGTAAAAATTTTTAAAAAGGAAAATTTGACATCATGGAAAAGTCAAAGACAAGAAAAAAAGATATTCGGTTTCACAAGTAATCAGGGAAATATTTTGAAAACAATGTTTGTATCCAAATAGACAAAAGTGTAAAAGATAAATATTATCCGGTGTTGTTGAATATATAGGTACATGAGATTTGAAGACCCTAGTAATGGGAGTCTAGTTTATATAGTCTCTTTCTGTTTTGCTTTATCGATAAAAATTTTAAGTTATCCACAGTGTTCCCAGCAGGCAGCCTTCTTTTTGAGAGAGCTGAAAATTAGAAATAATCCTTCTTATGTAGTAGAAAGGATGGAGAAGATGAATTATGGCTCTAACCTACAAGTTTATGGATCCAAAAATGTCTGTAAATCTACTTTTATAACAGTGGTTCTATTGAGAAGATAGGGATTGGAAGAAGTTGATTTTTTTGTTATTGTGAGCCTATATTACTTTTGAAATTTTATGAGAAATAAAATTTCATTTTGAAATAATTATATATTCATGGGAAGTTACCAAGAGTCTGCACAGGGAGATTCTTTATACTTTGCATTCAGTATCCCCAAAGGTAACGTCTTGCACACCTCTAGAATAGTATCAAACCAGGAGTTTGACATTGTACAATTCACAGAGCTTATTCAGATTTCATCAGCCATACCTGCATTCATATCTGCGTGTGTGTAGTTCCATGTAGCTTTATCACATGTGTATAGCTATGTAACCACCTTTATAATGAAGATATAGGACTAACCTAGAATCACAGGCATCCCTCACACTACACCTGTGCAGCCACATCCTCTCTTCACACCCAACATTTTCTTCTTAAAAAAATGTAGTGTAAAATTATGGAAAGAGAGCCATGATACGAAAAATTGTTACAGAGAAATTTTTTTGGAGAGGGAAAAGTTTATGGACATTTGTATGAGCATATGATGCTTTCAATTCAATTACTCATACCCTACTTCAAGTGTTCAGACTGAAAGTCTCATTCTCTAAA